ATATTGATTTTTTAAAATTCACATTTATGATGGTTGTCACAGAAATAAAATGCACCTTGGGTAATTTGGAAAAAAAGCTTTATTACCATGGCTATGGGCTTGAACAAACTTTTTAAGGTATATTCTATGAAAAGTTTACCTTCAAATTTTCTACAATATATTGCTTTGTTGTGATAAAAAATTAAATCATTTCTAAAGACCTGAAACAATTTTAACCTTTGAGACTTAGCATTTTGCTAATTAGAAAACCCTGTTTTGTCTTTTTAGAAATTATTTACTTTTTTACCATCATTACACATAAGACTGTGAAAAACCTATGTCATTGTGCTTTGTTATACAAATATACTTTATGACCTGTCACTTGACACATATCATATCATATCATATGACCAGGTATTTGACCCAGCTGGTAAAGGACAGAGAAGGTTTTGAGTTGGTGTTAGGGGAGCCACAGTGTACCAATGTCTGTTTCTGGTATATCCCTCCTAGCCTGAGGTCTTTGAAGAGAACTGCTGAATGGTGGCAGAAGCTAGGCAAGGTAACGAAAGCATACCCATTACTTATTGATAGGACAATGACAAATCCAGGATGAGTAGCTTATTTGTTTGTCTGTGTATGCTTATGTGTGTGCCTTTGTATGTCTGTGCTTGTATTTGGTTCTATTATCCACTGTGCATCCCAACAGAAGGAAATTCATGAAAAAACAATAATGCTGTGAGCTAGGGGCATTTTTAAAAGCTGAGTATATATCTAAAGCATGTTTCTGCTGTATGCAGTGAGAATTCCATTTAGTAAGAGTATAGAGCTGAAATACCAATTTTGTTTTGGAAATAGGGAGTGGGATAGATGGGGGAGGGGGATCCATCTGCATCTACAGTGCACTGTAGCTGGAACATTGTATCAAAAATAATCATGAGGAATCATATCAATGCATATTTTTTTTATCATAGAGGCTTCATTGGATAGGACTGTGAGTACTCTCTAGTTGGATACCTAGTACTAGAGGATTTGAAGCTTTTGTAATATGTATAAATGTTTCAGCAGCTAAACAGGCTAAGCTTTTGGTTTCCAAGTTCACTGATTTTCAGTCTCAAGCTCTTTTGTGAAACGTCTCCCTTATGTTGGGCATGATCAGTGCATTTTCATTCTTACCACTTGAACTTATATTTTTCCTCTAGGTTGCCCCCAAGATTAAGGAGAGGATGATGGTGGAGGGGACCATGATGGTGGGATATCAGCCTTTGGGCGATTACGTCAACTTTATACGTATGGTTATCAGCAATCTTAACGTTACCAAGGAAGATATGGAGTTTGTGGTGGATGAAATAGAACGCCTTGGGAAGGACTTATAATGCCACTTTGATGTGCAGATGTCGGAAACATTACAGCAACGTTCTCTCATGATGGCTGACTACCCTCTACCAGGGTCTGAGTTATTATTGTGGACTTTTTTTTTTGCTGAATCAGACCAAAATGACTGTCTATTTATCTAGAGACCTATCTGTGAATATCTGTGAAAAATCAATCTGTCGCCCTGGTAGAGGGTAATGGCTGACAGACAAAACATATTATAGCTAAAAAGTACATGTATCAGCTTATTTTTCAAGCCATAAACAAACAAACATCTATGTTTCCGTCTGACAGTTTTGCCGTGAGAACTCAGATATATACGTTCACCTGTGTATACTTGTACATTTTGTCATGAGTTAAGTTTTTTATATAACACAGTGACAGTTTATTTTATATACTCATTCCAATTTTTGTTGTTTTAACTGCAGTTTTCAGGACTTGATGCCATAGTTATTATTTGTATATATGTAAATTACTTGAAAGACTGAAGAAAAGAGAATTAGAGGATCTGGATATATATATATACTCAGGTCAAGTACTTATTTTTTAAGGCTGGTGAAGTTGTAGACTAATCTGTTGGTGATATATGCAAATAAAATTTGATGATATTTGTCAATTCTTTTGTGGAGTACAAGTGTGTGTCTGCATGACCGCCATCTTAATTTTCTTGCAATGCCTGAAGTTTGAATTATTCAGGGTAATAATTTTGGGTAGACTGTAAAATTTTTACAACTAAAATTACTCCAAATTTATGCTTTTGATTTTTTATATTAAGACACTATACATGTCCATACATTCCAGTCAGTTTCTGCCCCTGCCATTACATTGGTTGTCCACCCAGTAACTGCTGAAGATAAATGCACTATATGGGTTGTTTTCTATTCCATCTAAAACGCACAGAAAAAAATAGTATTGAATTTTCTAGACCTACAATCTACTAGATTTGAAACGTATTTTTTGTTTGTTTGTTTGTTTATTCAAATAAAAGCAACAATTGCTGGTTAAATTGTAAAAATTAAAAGTTCATAGCAGCCTTATTATTACATACTTCGTACTTCCATGTATGCGTATACAGGGCTGATATTTTAGGTTATCATATTTTTCCTAAATCATTTATTAAACGCTGCACTATACTGGTATTGTAATCCCAAACGCAAAGTGGAATCCGTTGAATAATCGGGAGCAGACTTTTCACTTTCTACCGTTAAGTTAGCCAATCGTTTCCCCCCCCCCCTGATATAGCAAGGGGTGACACCGAAGCT